TATATATATATATATATATATATATATATATATATATATATATATATTTTTTATGACCCAGATGGATGTTCTGAATTTCTTCTATGTACAATACTGTGTAAATATTTTTTTTTTTCATACAAAGCAAGAGCTGTATTTATTTCCTAGAATGTCACTTGGGGTCGTGTTTTCTCCCGTATGTAACGCTGCCTGTTTCCTTTCACACGGTAGTGCTCGCAAACTGAGAAAAACAAAGTTCACAGAAAACTGCTTTGACACGAATGTCGAGTTCAAACCCGATGCGCCTCTTTCTGCCTCACGAGTGCATGTACGCTGCACGTTCAAATGTCTACACATTTCATCAGTCGACGCTGTTCCATGTACCTGACGCACATTTTATAGCAACAATCAGCTGAACTATCAGAGAGAGAGAGAGCGAGAGAGAGAAGGGTGAGCTTTGTACAGAGCATCTTGTTCTGTGTGCTAGACATTTTCAGGTTTATATTCCTCTGCTGTAACACAATCTGTCATATTTAAAAGGTCTATTTATTGAGAGCTGGCTAAGGTGTTCTACAGTGTGCTCCAATGTCTCAACCATGTTTTACTGCTGAACTGGTACAACAATAAACTGGGAGAAAAGCAACAAAGCCTCCTCGAGGTGTTTAATCTGGATGAAAAGCAGAATTAATTTGACATGCTGGTCGTGCACTTTCTAAACACTTAAAATATTTGCTTGGATTATTGCTTCATCCTTTATCTGCTGACCTGAGATCTGTGTGAGAAGTGCTTCAATGTGCAAAAGTCAAGCTGTGTTTTCACAGGTTTATGTTAAGGTGTGTGTGTGTGTGTGTGTGTGTGTGTGTGTGTGTGTGTGTGTGTGTTTTTGGTTTACACTTGTGAGGTGGATGTGGGTTTTTACGTTTTTTTTTTTTTTGGCTGGGTGGATGTTTGCACATACATTTTAATGTATAGCACAGCTTCCGTGTTTCCTGTCTACTATAAAGCCATTTATAGTTGTGTTACTTTTGCCGTTGACGTGACAGAATTTATACAATTTTTTCAAAAGCCCTCGTTGAGGGTCTCGGTACAAATCCAATACAACAGTCCTGTGCTAATTATCCTTTTATCTTTATTATTTTTAATCGTTGACACTGTTCTCGAATTGATCGGGTCCTCCAGCTGATGCTAGATGAGTCCTGGATTTGCATAACAAGCTGGATGTGTTTGCATCCTCCTCCGTACAGCATGTTAATGTTACGTATTTCACAACACATTCTGCCTCTAGTACAAAGTTGCTTTGTTTAAATAAAATCAGGTCACTCTGTGTGGGAATAGGCAGTCACACACGTTTACACTGCCCTCTGCTGGGGAAAAGTACTCACAGAAAGTGTCCCACTATGAGAACATTTTTATAGATATTTCATATCGATCTGAACTTTGGAGTTGTATTGTCCGCCTGCTCAGCGTCTTAACCTGATCTGAAGAAACGAATACACCTTCAGTTGGCACCCTAAAGCCTGTGAGGAGGAGGAGGAGTTCATGGAGGGGAAAAAAAAATCCCTTACACCCACATTCATTTTCACATGAGCGTTTCGGTATGTGTGTGTGTGTGTGTGTGTGTGTGACACGTTTTGGGAGGAAATGAAAATAGAATTTTCAAATCAAAAGAAAACTTAACTTTATTTAGCAGGTTGTGGGCTATACAGGTTAACTGCCTACTTGTATTGATTCACTCTTTCACTTTATAATAAGAAATATTTAGGCGGCTGAGTTTTGTGATTATTGTAATAGCCAAAAAGGGTGAAGACATGCTTTATGAGATGTTCCTCTAATACAACAACAACCTGGTTATGTATTCATGACTTCTTTACCCTTAAGGACAGTGTTTCTCTGACCTAGTCCATCGCCCC